AATATCAAATTTTCCCTCCTTCTAAAAGCATCATGAAATTGTTTGGAAATAGATATAAAAGTGTAGGGCATAAATGCAACTCTATTTTATAACCTCTTATGAATAGAGTTTATCATGTCCAAAGGGTATTCCAGTAATGATAGCGAACACTTAGAGAGCACTTCCCAAGTGCTAGGCATTCTTCTAAGTACTTTACATGTATTATTTCAATTAATCTTTGAACACCCTTATGAGGTTGATACTATTCTCCACATTTTAGAGAAGGGGAAACGGAGACACAAAATGATTAAGTAACAGAACCAGAATTGAAACTCAAATAGCTATACTTGGGAGCTCATGTCCTCAACTACTATGTTTTACCTCCTCCCACAATGCTAATCTTACTCTCAAAATGGGTAGCACATTAAAGATATTATATTTAAGGAGGTCTGATCCAGTTTTGAGTCATGAACCCAGTTGAGAATATGGTGAAAACTCTGGACTCTTTTCCCAAACACACAAAATTTTGCAGCCCTAATCGGGAGCCCCCTAGACCTTGGCAGGACATCCAGATCCTTGACACTTGTAGTGGCTATGGTGGATTCAAACTCGACTTCCATTCCACCCTCCTCCTGCGCCCTTCCTGGAAAGCTAACACACAGTTCTCACAGCCCCTCTCAAGTAGAGGTCTGGATTTGATTTAGCGTCATCATACTAGATGCATTTGTGCAGATTTGGAAGGCAGAGGCGTGTGGAAGCTGCACTTCATCAGAAACACTGCTGACACGGAGGTCGTCTGAGTGACCTCCACAGAGGCGCCAGTGTCCAGGCTCTGTGAGAGGCAGCGGAGGGGGCATCCTTCGTGCTGGTGTGATTTGTAGCGGGTGTGGTGTGGCTCTGGCGGTGGCTGCAGTAGAGGCAGGTTTTTTTGTTCATGGGGGTGGGGGTGTGATTCTAGAATGGTAGGTTCCTGACCCAAGAAGAGGCAGAAGGTCCATCCCATGGTGTCCAGTTCTGCACTGTGGCTTTGGGAGTTTTTCTTGGAAAGTCATCTAGAATTTATTTATTCAGCCCTCCCACTGAGAGTTTCAACTAGACAAAATAGATTGTTTTTCACAGCTGAACCTTGACTGACACCATTTCATATAGCTTGACCCAAGGAGAGTTCCTTTAAAAGGTTGAGAGTTTGGCTCTGAAGTCAGAAACTCCTGGGTTTTTATTCAGGTTCTTTATTAGCAGTGTGACTGAGGACAAGTTATTTGACCTTTCACTTTCCTCATCTACAAAATAGGAAATTATTTCCATATGAGGAATATTAGGAGGACTAGTCCATTGGGTTGTTGTGAGAATTATATGGGCTTAGCATAGTGCTTGGCACATAGTTGATACCGTGAATATGAACTATCATTATCATTAATCCGTAAATACTGTGAAAAGGAAAAGCAGTAGACATAATTTCTGTTTTGTATAAAATAAAGCACTACAGTGGTCAGTACAAGAATTGCTGAGCTTCAATTTTCCTACACCAGTACATATGCAGGCCCAGACTGGCAACTTAATGAGGAGGAAGCTGACATAAAGTACTTAGTACATTGACTTAACTAAAGAATTTTGTAGTTCTCATTCAAAAGAGGATTAAACAAATGGAATTTTCTGGTAGCAAAATTCTTTTCTCTGAAGAGACCTTTAGCTTTCATTGACTGGTTGTATGTGCTGTTTATCGGGGGATGGGTTTGGCAAATCACAAGAGGTATGTCCCAAGGCTGCAAGGGCAGGAAAAGGAACCTCTCTGGGCCTCAGTGAGAATGTGTCTACACGGTGCTTCTCTCTCAGCCAGGCCATTAGCAGCTGCACTCTATAATCTATAGTTGTTATTGGCCCTGTGGCCTGTAAAACCTATAGCTTCTCATTGAAGTATAGATAAATCTTAACATGTCCTACAATGCATGTAGAATTGAGTAGTGTAAATATTGTATGCAATTTTTAAAACTACTTGTTGGTGAAAGGAGTTAAATTGAATACGTGTCTAAGTAGCTTCCTCTAATCAATATGCTCTTTTTCTTCCAGGCTTTCTCCTCTACCCCTGCTCTTAGCCTTATTTGAATAGTCTTTAATAACAAAGATCATAGTGGTTTGTCCTTCACACCCTTACACAGCAGTTCAGGTTTTTCAAACTTTGACTTATTTATATACAGCCAAGGTAAAACCTCTACCAGAAGACAGTCAGAACAGTCACAGCCTTAGACCCTGGAAGGTTGCTTATGGTAATCCATTTAAAGTTTCCTAAAGCTTTCCTTTCCCCCTGTGTTCCAGTCTTTATGCAATCAAACTAATTGCAAGCAACTGTCAAGGGAGAAGGTAAGTTTGAGAGTCCTGTAAAATGATCACTTTTGATTCTCCAAAGTCTATGGCATAGGTAGAAATAATCAGCAAAATGCAATTATTTTCCACATTTTAAATATTTTTCAATTTCTTCATATGCATGTTTGCCATCAGTGTCTTTATCACCACGAGGAAAGGCTAAATGACCAACAGTGATGGTCTCTTGAATATGTGAATGGTGTTTCTCCTTTGGACTTTGCTTAAGGAGAATTAAATTATAATTTTACACAAGTTTGGTGAAATGTTTTCCTGATTGATCAAGGTGGCTATCCCTACAGGTGTGGACCATGGGGAACCAATCTTTTCAGAACAGGTCTTTCTTCTACTGAGGAAGCTTTAACCACTTGGGGACCACACTCACTGGCCGCGAAACCTTGCCCACAGCCAGCACTCATAGTCCGCATGATAGTTTGTGCTGTGCACTGACCATGAATCCATTTTGCTCTTGTGTGATGAGGAAAGCTTTAAAGCACTGAAAGCTTGTTTTACTTTACAGGCAGCTTTACTTGTAAATCAGAATAGGTAACATACATATATGTTTTCATTACGTTATTTTTAAATATACACAATTTTATTTTGATAAATGAAAAATTAGAAAAAGTCATATCACGGCTGTCAGCTAAAGTCAATGCTCGGCTGTGCGCCTTCATATCACGGCTGTTGGCTAAAGTCAATGCTCGGCTGTGCGCCTTCATATCACGGCTGTTGGCTAAAGTCACTGTGCACGCTCATCTGTGGCTATTGACTATAGTCGACGCTGGTACTGAAGTGGTTAATCAAATCAGTATCATTTCATGTACTCCTATCTCATTGTGTCAGCTAATTTGGGTTTCATTTGGGGTTGAGGAAGTCCCCATGTGTGAATAAAGGTATCTTGAGGCTGTTCTTTGTGTGTGTTGGGGTGTATGTTAGGGTGTGTGGGGCAAGAGGGGATACGTTTGGAATAGGCCAAGTAGAGTAGATGGGAATTTGGAGCCCTCCACCTTACTTCAATGAGAGTACCTCCATTTTCTTCTGTTTTTTGGTTCCTTGAAAGGTCTTATTTGCAAAAAAGTGTGCTGCTGCTTTAAAATGTTTGTAAATGGCTGAGCTAGAGGGCACATTACCTAGATATAATTCAAAAGACCTTCAACTTAAAGGCAGGCAACTAACATTGACTTGGACTTGGACAAGTGGAATTTTATTGTCAAGATATGGACTTACATATTCTTGATTCAACAGATCCATCTTTTGAGAAAGTTGAATCAGGAATATATAAGTTCATATTGTTTTTAATAAGTTGCTCAGAAAAAAATTCTTTGGGTCTTAACTGAAATCAGTGTGGCCGGGCCTACCTTTGTATCTGCTAAAGTTATTTTGTTGAGTGCTTGAGTAAAAGTTATTCTTAGATCCCACAGCCTTGGGTATTGGATATTACAGAGTTCATTCTTTAAACCAGAGGCAACTTCTAACAGATAACAATAGGGCCCAGGAAGAAGGTGATCTGGGCATTTGAATTTAGCTTTTCATCCTGGCACCTTACAGGATACAGACTTTTGGCTCTCTGTGTATGCTCTGGAACTCCCTTAGAATCAGAAAATGTGCCTATTAACTGTGAAAATGAAGAATTTTAGGTATCTACATCCTGCTGCCAACATCAACTCCCTTGCTTCTGGGTCTTTGAGCTAACATAGCTCATTTGTATCTTAGATAACGATGGCCAAACTGCACATATACTAAGGTAGCTCAGGGAAATCATCCAAGATACTCCCTCCCCCTTCCTTGCCTGTTCATAGTCTGCTTTCACTCTTGCTGCATTCCTGCCTGGCTTTAGGCACTTAAAGCATCTTGTTTTGTAACCCTAGTGTTGGCCCCTTTGGTCCCATGACCTCAGTACTTGAGTGTGGTCTTCTTGATGCACAAACCTCAGTTCTCTCCTGCTGACACTGGCTTTGTTCTTGGTTCCCTGTGTTACTTCAAAAAAATTACCCCTCTCTTGTTCAGACAACACTCTTTTCCCAAACTTGGCAGGACCTACCTAACCATCCCAAACTCTTTTCAGCCAGAATTGGACAAGACTAAAAAACCATCTGAAGAACAGCATAACCAACCAATAACTGAGATGGGATAACTTAGATGCTACTATGAACATTTATGTATATACATTTTATATGAATACATGTTTTCAATTTTCTTATATATATACCTACCATTGTAATTGCTATGTTATATGGTAACTCTATGTTTAATTTTGAGTAACTGCCAAACTGCTTTTCATAGAGGCTTCACCATTTTATATTCCTACCAGTAGTGTATGAGAGGATTCCAGTTTCTTCCCATCCTTGCCAACACTTGGCATTATCTGTCTTTTTAATTATAGCTATCCTAGTGAGTGTGAAGTTGTATCTAATTGTGGTTTTGATTTGCACTTACCTAATGTCTACTGATGTTCAGTACCTTTTCATGTGCATATAGGCCATTTGTATATCTTCTTTGAAGAAATATGAATTCATGTCCTTTGCCCATTTTTAAATTGGGTTATTTATATTTTTATTGTTGAGTGGTAAGAGTTTTTTAATATATTCTGAATACTAGATTCTTATCAGATATATGATTTGCAAATTTTCTCCTATTTCATGAGTTGTTTTTTCACTTTCTAGATAGTGTTCTTTGCTTCACAGAAGTTTTTAATGGTAAGTCCAATTTATCTAATTTTTCTTTGATTTTTTTGTACTTTAGGTGTCATATATACAAAACTGTTACCTGTTCTAAGGGCACAGTGGTTAAACCCCATGTGGTCTTCCAAGAGTTTTATAGTTTTAGCTTTTACATTTAGGTCTTTGATCTACTTATTTTTATATGTGATATGAGGTAGGAGTTAAAATTCATTCTTTCACATGAAATTATCTAGTAGTCCCAGAACCATTATTTATGAAGACTTTTCTTTTTCTATTTACTTGTCTTGGCATCTTTGTCAAAAACCTATTGACCACGGCCAGGCGCAGTGGCTCATGCCTATAATCTAGCACTCTGGGAGGCTGATATGGGAGGTTCACTTGAAGTCAGGAGTTTTGAGACCAGCTTGAATAAGAGTGAGACCTTGACTCTATAAAAAATAGAAAAATTAGGTGGGCACATGCCTGTAGTCCCAGCTACTTGGGAGACTGAGGCAGGAGGATCTCTTGAATCCAGGAGTTTGAGGTTGCAGTGAGCTATAATGATGCCAGTGCATTCTAGCCTGGGTGACAGAATGAGACTCTGTCTCAAACAAACAAACAAAAATCAATTGATCATAGATGTATGGATTTATTTCTAGACTCTAAATTCTATTCCACTGATTTATATATCCAACCTTATGCCATTATGACACTGTCATGATTACTGTGGCTTTATAGCAATAGGACTTGGTAGTCATTTTTTGAAATTGAGAAATGTGAGTCTTCTAACTTTGTTCTTCTTTTTGAAGATTGTTTTGGCTAGTTTGGGTCCCTTGTATTTTCATATGAATCTTAGGATCAGCTTCTCAATTTCTGCCCCAAAGCTGGCATTTTTATATGGGTTGCATTGGATCTATAGATCAGTTTTGGGAGTTTTGCCATCTTAACAAGATTAAGTCTTCCAATTCATGAATCTGGAATGTCTTTCTACTTACTTACTCTTCTTAATTTCTTTCGACAATGTTTTGTAGTTTTTCAGGTTACAAGTCTTGCATTTCTTTCATTAAATTTATTCCTACATATTTTGTTCTTTTTGATGCTGTTATTTTCTTAATTTTATTTTTAGATTGTTCACTGGTAGTGTATAGAAATACAACTGATTTTTTGTGTATTCATCTTGTATCCTACAATCTTCCTGAATTCATTTATTAGCTCTAATAGTTTTTTTGAAAAGTGTTAAAGATTTTCTATGTACAAGATCATATCATTATGGCATCTCTTGATTTTTGATGACCCAGAGAATACAGTTAGGACCATGGAAAGAAATTGTCCAAGAATGACAATTCTCAACTTCTTTCAACCAAGCTTGATTTTTGCCCTGGGCACATGCCTTGTGTCTATATATATCCTTTGGCATCTGGATGTATTGTAATCCTAATTAGATTATTTCTCTTCAGCCTCTCAGCCATTTTCTGTCCATCCACCCTCTCCTATGATTAATTGCATTCTACTCTGATTACACCTTGGCTCTCTGTTCCCTTATTTTATATCTGTGTATTTATCTATTTATCTATCTCTATAGATAAAATGATTTGTACAGCCATACTAAGTTCTTTTTACTATATCACATTCAGCAGTTCGGGTGACTTATCTCAGCTGAGCCCTAGTGCCCTAAGAACTCTTTTGTCAAGGGTTAGGGTTTAGCAAGAATTAAAGTCCATTTCTTGACGTACACGTTTTCCTCTGGTCCTGGCTAATGCAGGGTATTACGTGCCCTGTCCATGGAAAGTAGGAGTCTTCACATATTAATATTATATAGAGAAAACATGAGGGAAACTGGGAGACATGAAGGGGGTGGGCTTCGGGAAGGTTGACTAAGGGAATTCACCTGTTAATGCAGCATAATCCCTTGAGATTTTCATTTAATTCACCTGCCCAATTATACATTTTTATGTAAATTTACTTCTTAGACATTTTTACTAAATAATATTAGACCGCATATGGAAGAAGTGATATATTAAATTCACCTTTTATGTGAAGTAGAAGGTGGGCAAAAGACCCAGATATTTGCATCTAATAAATAACATAGAATGCTAGCGTAAAGATATGTATTTTCTACATGTTTTCTGTGGTTTTGGCCTTAAGTTTAAAGTCACTCCCCAAAAGCAGAGATTCCACAACCTGAATCTATGGTCTGAGAGGTTGTTGCTTTCATTTTGCTACATTCTAAGGAGAGGAATCTGTTGTTACTTTAATTGAAGAAATTCCCAGAAGGAAACAGTGCTAGGGATGTAGGAACTTACTTGAAACTTTATTTAATTGCTGTTTTGCTTGACTTTTCACATTGACTTTTCTGAAGATCAAGAATACTAACTTTGTCAGTGGAAGTGTTGCTTAATGTTTAGTATGATCGTTTACTGTTGGCTTCCTATAAGGAACGTGATGTGCAGGAAGCATTTCCAGGTATACACATTCATTTCCCACACTGATACATTATGTAGCTATTTTTCTCTTTCCCTACATACTTTTCAGTTGAAAGCAGGCAAAGTCCTCTGATCATTTATCTCAGCCACAGGGAATCTTCATTTCTAGATGCTCATATTTCTTTATTTTTAAAAACAAATCTAGTAATAGTTTTCCAACTTTTGGTAGGAGTAATGATTTCTATTATTATTAAAAGAAAACAAAGTAAGCAATCTCCATGTTAAACAAAACAGTTTCACCAGTATTAATTAATTAAATATTTTCCGGGATGAATATTTACTGACTTTTGGTTGATTTTCCTCAAAACATGAAAACTACATTTATTTCTTCACTTATTTCTCCATTTCATTCATTTCTTTATTATTCACAATAATTTCTATTGTGTGCTTGTGAGGGACTGTCTCAAAATTTTCTTTTCAATAAATTTCCCAAGTCTTGAGAACCAACTAGACTTGTGAGGCATTAAGATGTATTGAAAGGAAGAGGTGGGATTAAAGGCTGGATCTCCCCTTGCTAGCTATATGTCTTGGGGCAAGTTGCCTAAAAATTATTTTGCCTGATAATAATGTAGCTATATCAGCTTTCTTCTGGTTAGTATTTGTCTGATAAATCTTTCTCTACCCTTTAACTATTAATCTTGCTCTGGTTTAGTTTTTTCCTGGTAAATAGAACATCATTTTTAAAAATTTACATAGAATAAAATTTACCTTTTTTGTTGTACAGTTTTGTAAGTTTTGAAAAATGCATACAGCTATGTAACTGTAAGCAAAATTGAGTCACAGAACACTTCCATCACCCTTCTGCCCAAATTCCCTAGTGCAGACCCATGAAGTCAACTTTTTCTTCCACTACAAACCCTTGTTCTCTGTCTCTATGTTTGACCTTTTCCATAATGTTATGTTTGGATTTATACAGTATGTAGACTTTTGAGCCTGACTTCTTTCATTCAGCACAATGCATTTGAGGTTCATTTGTGTTGCAGTGTGTGTTGATAGTTTACAACTTTTTATTGCCGGGCACTATTCTATTGTATGAATGTACAACATTTTGTTTATCCTTTCACCAGCTGAAGGACCTTTGGATTGATTCCAGTTTGGGGTGATTAAGAATAAAACTACTATAAACATTCATTTACAGGTTTTTTTTATTAACATAAGTTTTCCTTTCTCTAGGGTAAATACTTAGGAGTAAGATTTCCTGATGGTCCATATGGTAAATATAAGAAAATGCCAAACTATCTTCCACAGTATCTGAACTATTTTATATGCCCACCAGCAATTTCTGAGAGTTCCATTTACTCCACATCCTCACCAGCTTTTGGTGAGCATGTAATACCAGCTCTTGGTATTATCTATCAGTTTATTTATTTATTTTAGCCATAACAATAGGTGTATAGAAATGTCATAGTATATTTTTATTTTGCATTTACTTAATGACTACTGAGGTTGAATGGGTTTTCATGAGTTTGTTTGCCATTCATATATTTTCTCTGGTGAAGTATATTTTTAAATCTTTTGACCATTTTTTAACTGGATTCTTTTATATTCTTATTGTTGGGTTTTGATAGTTATTTATATATTCTAGATATAAGACCTTTGCCAGATATGTGATGTACAGATTCTTTCTCCCAGCATGTGACTTCTTTCTATTCTTTTAACAGTGTTTTTCAAAGAGCAAAAGTTTTTAATTTATATGAAGTCCAATTTATTTTTTAAAAAATTGTTTTCACATACTGTACTTTTGGTATTGTATCCAAGAACTCTTTGCCTAATCAAAGATCACAAAGATTTTTTCCTACACATTTTATAGTTTTATTTCTAAGGTTATGTCTTTGATTCATTTTTAGTTAATTTTTATATAAGCTATGAGGTATGAGTTCAGGTTTATTTTGTCTTATTTTGCATTTGGATGTCCAATTGGTCCAGCACAATTTTTTTGAAAAGACTATTCTTTCTTGATTGAGTTGCCTTTGCACCTTTGTCAAAAATCAATTGACCATATTTGAGTGGGCCTATTTTTGGACTCTCTGTTATGTTCCATTGATCTATTTTTCTATCCTTTCACCCATACCACACTGTCTTGCTTATTGTAGCTTTATATTAAATCTTGATATCAGAGTATGAGTCTTCTAACTTTGTTCTATTTCAAAATTGTGTCAACTATTCCTTTGCTAGTTCCTTTGCCTTTCTATATAAACTTTAGAATCAGTTTCTCAACATCCACAAAAAACTCCTGTTGGGATTTTAATTGCGATTGTTTTGGATCTATGGTCAATCTGGGAAGAATTGACATTTTAATAATGAAGCTTTCAATGTGTGAACAAGGTATAATTCTCCAGTTTTGTATACCTTCTTTGTTTTTCTTATTAGTATTTTATAGTTTTAAGCTTACAGATCCTGTGTATATTTTTTGTTAAGTTTTTACCTAAATATTTCAATTTTTGGTGCTAGTATAACTAGCATTTTTTAAAATTTCAAATTCCAGTTGTTTGTTGCTGGTATATAGAAATACAATTAATTTTTATATATTGTCCATATATCCTGAGACCTTGC